GGGGGGGGGGGGGAAGCTTGCAAGCAAGCAAGCACACAATTTAAGTACGAAAACCTTTGAAGCTCATCCGTGCGTCTTTATATCTTATATGATATATGAAACAAGTAAAGCTTATCTGATAACTACACGCCGTTTTTCTCAAACGACAACAAAACTAAATCAAATCAATTGACGACATTGTATTATATGAATAAACGACATGTTGTTCCTGCTTATTTGTAACGGGACATTGCGTGTGCGCGCATGTGTGTGTATATGTGTGTGTTAAGATCTTGATTGAGTTTCACATTGTTAAAATATGGGCTTAATATGTAGGTTTATAACCACTTGGGCATCATCTCCCTACAAGCTAGCTTTTGGGGATGAGTTCTACCCAAGGGTTATAACAATTAGTATCAGAGCATGCTCCTCCTCAGGCCCACGTTACGGAAGGAGCGACCTGGAAAGGCCAGAGTGGGCCATCCAGAGTGGGCCGCCGTGGACGTCGGTGTCGGAAGCGTGGTGGTATGTTAGGATGAGTCTCACATTGTTAAAGTATGAACTTAGCATGTGAGTTTATAACAACTTGGGTACTATTTCTCTACAAATTAGCGTTTGGGGATGAGTTCTATCAAAGAGTTATAACAATGTATATGTGTGTATATATATATATATACACGTTTACATATTTGACAATTGACACAGTCAACCAATCCTATTCAATTGTAGATGATCCCAATAAGGAAACAACAATTGCCTCCTCAAAGTCGGTATACAAACAAGAAAAGGATTATTTTAACTGAAAAAGAAAAAAGTTCCACGAAAGCTGCCATTAATGTATACGAAACTTCGCATTTTTAAAAAAAAATTACATCTACATGAAACTATTGGAATAATTTATCTCAGAACGTCTATTTGCGGAGGTATAACTAAGATGAATGAAAAACAACAACAATAAATAAGTAGATTAATCAAACTTTTGTTTATCTAAAAAAAAAAAGAGTTGAACTGCCCACTAATTAGCACTGCAAAAATAATCCCCGTAACAACTAACATATACATGAAATTCTCTTCTAGGAGCAATATATATATATATACACACACACACACACATGAAATTCAATCTAACAATAGCTTAGTTTGGTATTGTTTTTCTCTCTTAAAATGTAACAGAAACTAATTTTAGTGTTTAGTAAATCTCCTCAAATGTCTTTTTTGAAGAATTTTTCAAGAATTTACACATAAAATCAGAAGCAGCCTAAAGACAACTTTAACTTTTAAATTATGCAGGAATCAACATAATATAATTAATGAAACTTTCATAATACCCCTAATGAAATTTAAAATTTACAATCTTCCTAATATAAAATTATAATATAATATAATATAATATAATATAATATAATATTGTAACAAATAATATCATAATTATATTAATAACTCTAATATTATTATCTTATCATATAATATGATATTATAATTATTTAAATAATATGATATTATAATTATTATTTTATAATAATATTATAATAATATTATATATTATATTGTATTGATATAATTATATTTATTATATTAATAATAATATAAT